TCGTGAGGAATAAGAAATGCTCAAAAACAATTTTATTTAAAGAAAACCCACGACACGAAGGATGTGGTTATGTTGCCCACACGAATATTAGAGTTACATATTTTATTTATTTTGATTAATTTATAATTTTATTATAAATAATTAGTTAGTATAATATTTAAAAATATACTTTTAAAGGATGGTTTAATAAATAAAATTTGAGATTTTAAATTAAAAATTTTAAATTTAAATATTAAATCAGATATAAAAAGAGTTATTCTCTTTTATTCAATTCATTTAAATGTACAAAAAAAAATGATATACAAAAATATTATTTCATGAATTAATTTTAATTTATTAAATAATAAATATTAATTATTTTATTCATTATTAATTATTTTTAACATTTAAATTATACAAAACTAATATACCTGAAATCATTACTGTACCTTAATACTCTTGTAAGTGGCATAACGATATTAGTATAATTAAAATATTATATAAAGTTATAAGTTTATAATTATATATTATTAAATAAAATATATTATGATAATAAATTTATAAATATATGTAATATTATAAATAAATTTTTAAATAAAAAAATTAATAGCCAATTAAAGATGTCAACGGGTTTCTGCAAGGCCGAAAAGTCCGTCCCCGTCCCCCCTGTCCTTGCAAATGGTGAGGACAGAGATCCCCACGAGGATTTTTAACGAGGGACAGATTTGTCCCCCGTCTCCATTTCTTACTAATTAATATTAAATTATAAATTTTTTTGCTTTTTACATATAATTAATTAATATTTAATTGTAATGAATAAAATTCTAAAAATTTAAATACAATTAACTAAAAATTTTTAAATATAAAATCAAATATAAATTGTCCAAATATAAATAAAAATCAATTCAACATAAATAACCAAACCAATAATTAACAAATTTGTTTCAAACATAAATAAAGATTAATCCAAGCTAAACTAAAGCATAAGCAAAACTTAATCTAACATAAATAAAATAATTAAACCAACATAAAAAAAAATTAGTATTTTGAAAATAAAAAAAATCAGTACCAGAAAAGGCTACGCCGCAACAGAACCGCAGTGGAGGGAATGGGATTTGAGATGATCTGACCAATACAAAAAAGAAAATAAGGGGTGACAAAAGGTGAGTATTAAGAAGAGTAAGGTTAAAATCGTAAAAGTGTGGCAATGAAATGAAGGGCATTCAGATGGTAGAGTTGCGTAATAGAAGGAGAAGAAAAGCTGGGGAAGGTGAAAATGAAAATTGAGAAATGAATTAAAGTTAGGGTTAAATTTATGTAGGAGAATGAGTTGGGTTAAGTTAGGTTGGGTTGGGTTAGGTAAAATTGGGTTAAATTTAATTTTGATTGAATTAAGTTTAAACTTAAGTTTGAGTTTGGATTTAGGTTTAAAAGATAAATTAAATTTAATATAAAATTAATTTATATTTATTTTAATTTAATTTTTACGATGACGAAGATTCCACAATTGAGAAAATTTCTTTGTAAAATTTCACAAAAGAAAAAAGCTCCCCATCTCGACCCCACAAAAAAAAAATTTCCTTTCAGCCTACTCCCACTGGGATTCCCGTGAAATCCCACAAAAATCAAGAAAAATTGTCGTCCCTAAGTCCAACTATACGTTATATTACAAGGTTATAATTTCAAGGAAAAGTATAAGTATAGTTTCCCAATACAAGATGCAAATATGTTTGTCTTTTTAAAGTTGGTGTACATAAATAGACATCTTTACTACAGGCTCGTTACCAGAAAAAGAGAAAACCACGAGCATCAACTGAATCCCACGAGAATCTACTAAAATGAGCAGTCCAGGGACACTCAAGATCTCCAGCTTCGAATTGGACCTGGATCGACCTAACATCGAGGATTACCTCCCCTCCGGATCCTCCATTCAAGAACCTCGCGGCAAGCTTCGCCTGTAATTCTTATTTTCTTCTTATATTGTTTCTCATTGTTTAAACTTTTGCTGCGGTTTTGCTCCGGGATTCAATGGAGGTTTAGTGGATTCTTAAGTGTTTTTGATTGATTTGTGGTTGATTGCGGTGGTGAACTGGTTTTCAGGCGTGATTTGCTGGATATTTCTCTGACGTTAACTGAGGCTGCTGGTGCCATTGTCGATGTAAGCTGGTTCTCCCTCCCTTGATGATTTCTAGAGAAAATGATTTGGATTAATTTCTTCTTTTTTAAAAAATGACAAGAAAATGGATGGAGCTTAGATGAGATTTTATGAGTATCCACTTCACAAACACGTTTATTTCTTTATAGGTATCTTGGTAAATTGAGGTTTTGCAGTACGAACTTTTAATCAAGTAAGATACATTTTTGCATGAGCAGGATTCATTCACTAGATGTTTTAAGTCGAATCCTCCAGAACCATGGAATTGGAATGTATACTTGTTTCCCCTGTGGTGTTGCGGTGTGGTAATTCGATATTTCATTTTATTCCCTGTGAGGTTAGCCTTTTTCCTTTCCAGAGGTCTGTGATTTGATGCATGGCAGCTTTGCACGCTTGCTCTTGTTGTTTGATGCCATTCTTAGACTTCTGAATTCTAACAAATAGAATTTTAAAGAAATGAATCTAATCTTTGGCTTTCATATCTTTTAAGAAAGATCATCACCTATAAACTTGTTTCGTTATCCTTTGATTATATTTGGTAACAATACTTCACTAATATAATACGTTTACTTTAGACTATAGAGTATAGATATCACATTCACTTAAATGATGTTTCAAGGATTTTTTCTTTTAAGTTGAAATTTGGAATGCTAAAAAGAGATTCAGAAATACCTTATGGACCCCTGATATACTTCATCCAGGCGGTGATCGTTTGTTTCCATTAGAAAAAACTGGTGACAGTTTTGTGTTGAAGTGACTACTTTTTGTTGAAATACTTGCTTCTGAGGTTCTATGGTTTTGTTATTGCTGCAGAGTTGTAGTGTTAACAACAGGATGGATTATATTTCTATCATCCTTCATTCCAGTGCACTTTCTCTTGAAAGGACATGATAAATTGCGGCAAAAGTTCGAGGTGCAAATATTTACTCGATTCTTATTCTTGCAATTTTTGGATTTGTTTTTGCTCATTCCATGCCAAGAAAGAAAAAGAAACAGGTTTAAATATCCCTTCAATTTGCAGATCTAAAGTTGTTGTGTAGGGGACTCCTGTTTTCAGTTGTTTTATTGCCTTTATAACAAGCTTGGTCTTGTACTAGATATCATATAAACAAATAGCTTTTGATGTAAAGTCTAATTATTAGACTTGTACAGGAGGAAGTCATGGTAACCAAAGATGAAATATGAGACACAGGACACTGGAAAAATGTTATCAATTTTCTAGGTTATTACTTGAACTTAATATATTGTGGCTCAATTTCTTTTCAGAGGGTTTTGGTGGAGCTAATTTGCAGCTTCTTTGTTGCATCCTGGACTGGAGTTGTTAAATATCATGGTCCACGACCTAGTTTGCGGCCTAAGCAGGTTCATCTTACTGTAGTTTCTACAATTTAGAAGTTTGCTAAACTTCCTTTGTCTGTATTACTTCAATCCAAGTAGAAGGCTGAGTGAATTTCTGAAAATTGGAACTCAGATGATCTAACTGTGTATCTCTGAATTTGCCTTTCATGAATTGAACAGGTTTTTGTTGCCAATCATACTTCCATGATTGACTTCATCATCTTAGAACAGATGACAGCATTTGCTGTCATCATGCAGAAGCATCCTGGGTGGGTTGGTGAGTATTAGTTTTGGCATGCATCTTGATTGATGTTGTAGAACATTCTGATGGAAAGTGCCTGGTTTCTGACACTGCATGCTTCTTCTAAAACATATCCAAGTACTCCTTCCTCAATTATATTTAATTATGAAATATGAAGTTTGGTTTTGTGGCAGATTTAGAGATTCCAATGAGACAGTCCAACAACTTTAATGATGGACTTCTGGCATTTGGACCATAATCTTTTCTTGTCCTAGCTTATCATAAAGAATGAATGTATCTACGTCATGAGGGTGTTTGTGATTGTGCATATTGTGTAATAATGAATGATGGTTCAATTTCTTTCTATTTTTAGGACTGTTACAGAGCACTATCATGGAGAGTGTAGGGTGTATTTGGTTTAACCGTACAGAATCAAGAGACCGTGAAATTGTAGCAAGGAAGTAAGTGCAATTGTAGTGGGGAGATATTTTATCACAATCTGGACCATGATGTGATCATGACCATGATATGATGATAAAAACTTGTGCATTTCAGGATAAGGGAACATATTCAGGGGGCTGACAATAACCCTCTTCTCATTTTTCCTGAAGGGACCTGTGTGAATAATCAGTACAGTGTCATGTTTAAGAAGGTAGATTGGTTGTGAGCTTTTGGTTCATAATTGCCTTAATTTTTCTTTCTTTAAACTTCTTGGTTTTGTTGATGATCTGCAGGGTGCATTTGAACTTGGCTGCACTGTCTGCCCAATTGCAATCAAATACAATAAAATTTTTGTTGATGCCTTTTGGAATAGCAGAAAGTAAGAATTTGCTCTGAAAGTCCTTAACTTTTTCTCTGCATGTGAATATGAGTGCCTCAAAACTAAGTATATTCTGGCATTTGGGGGTGAGTAGTTGTACTTGAATTCAAGTTATTTGAGCCTGCTCATTTGTAAAAGCATTCATCATAAGAGTGAGGCGGAAAGTGAAGTCTCAATTTTGATCATGGTCATGACTCGTGAGTGTTTCTGCCAACAAAAAGAACAAGGATATTACGTTTGAGTTCATAGGTTTGTTAGAGAACTATGTGGTGGGTGGGTGAATATCAATATCTTGCAAGATTTTTGGCTACTAGATGACAAAGAAAAAGTCATTTTGTGTGTCATTTTTGGGTTTGGATGCTGGCTGGACAACCATCTAATATGCACAATAAGGAGACAATCTCCTTTTGTAGGGGCATCTCTCTTGAGTCACATGCCTTGTATATATTTTTTTGTTGGTTTCATCTCAATGGTGTATTAGCATTATCAAACTCATGTCCTTTTTGCAGGCAGTCCTTCACAATGCATCTGCTGCAGCTAATGACATCCTGGGCTGTTGTTTGTGATGTGTGGTATTTAGAGCCTCAAAATCTCAAGCCTGGAGAAACACCCATTGAGTTTGCAGAGAGGTAATATATTCTCTCTTATTGTGACTAGTAAGTGATTGCACTAAGCATCTAACTTCCTTTAGAGGGACTGAATCATGTTTTGAATTTTCATCTAAAAGAGAATAGCTCTGATTCAGTTTCAACATATTAATGTAGGGTCAGGGATATAATATCTGTCCGAGCAGGCCTCAAGAGGGTTCCTTGGGATGGATATCTGAAGTACTCTCGCCCTAGCCCTAAACATAGAGAGCAGAAGTAAGCTAAACACCCAATTGCTTTCCTTTCTTTCCTGCTTCTGGAAAAATTGGATTTCTTTTGAACTTGGTTTGCGTGCTTGTTCATTGTTCCTTTTGAATTTGCAGGCAACAGAGCTTTGCTGAGTCAATGCTTAGGCAGCTGGAAGAAAAGTGATATGTACATATTTTTTGTTCCCTCTTTACTTGTATTCCTCATGATATTAAGGCCTGGTTGTGCATTTTCTTTATGTTAAATTCTGACTCTTTGATCTTGAAATCAATTAGGGGTTGGATAGAACATAGAAGGTTAGAAGCAATAATCTGTCGTCTGACAGAAACTGCATGATATAGTTCTTAACCCTAGGTTCTAGATGAAAAAAAAAAAAGAAGAGGAAAACAATTTTAGGTTTCGGATTAATAAGATAGAAAAACAGAAGCTGCTAGCAAGATTTGTCTTGATGAGCGTGCTTTAATTTTGATAAAATGTCTGGACATCTTAAATAAATACCTCTTTTGCTAAGCGTTCTTTGAAGTCAAAACCAATTTCCAGTTGAGCTGTGATGTCAATGTCTCCTATCAAGCTTGCTATTCTGCACTTTTGCATAGATTTACAACTTTTATGAAGTACGAAAATAATTCTGAGTGCTAGAATCGGAACCTGACTATCATACCATACATGAGATTTTTTACGCACTGATTAAATTTTGTCACAGTGGGTCAAATAACATGAGTAGATAATTCTTGCGGTATTTAATATTTCCATGGAATGGATGTATCAAGCATTGAGCTATCGACTAATGAGGTGATATTGATGTCTTCCACATATTCTGCGTATAACACTGCTAGCAACCTACACACACACGAGAAAGGAAAAGAAGAGACAAATTCTGAAAAAGCTTGATCAAAAAATTAAAAGTTTTGTTCGACTCCATTATTCAATCCCAGAAAACCAATTTATTTCATCATTATTCCGGCATCGCTCGCTGTCCTCCCCACGTCGATGTTGGCTTCTGGTGGCCCAGATGGGTTCATTTGATTAAATGAATGGTAACGTTAATGGATAAACAGCAATTTCGAACAAGGTATCGATTTACACGGTGAAGAAAGGTGGTCTGACTGTGTGTACTTCATAGCTTCCACCGTTTTCTCTGGTTCATTACAATGCGTGGGAATGGTGGACCTGAATCTCGTATTGATTGGGCAGAAGCTGTGGATCCTGCTACCGTGTAGATGGAATGAAGTGGGCGGAGAGAAGTCTAGAACACTAAGGGTACATCAAACTAGCAATAGGGGCTGCTACAAAGCATAAACTGCCAAAAATTGTGTATACACAAGTAATGCTTCACATTATGTTCTAGTCCCAATTGCTGGACATCATGTCAGCAACAATTGCTACTTCAATCTTGAAAAGCTGCTTCTAGCTCTCTTTATGCTTGAAATCCATTGAATTTGCTGAGCTATTGACTTCTTGATGTTTCATGTTTCGTATTAAGAACACTCTACTCCTATAGCTTAGTTTTTTGACATTTGAAGTTTTAAACTGCTAAAAATGGCATCATTCACTTCTTAAATGAGAAATGAGAATATAAGTACCGTGTAAATTAAAAGAATCTTGATTTGATTAGCATAAGTTCAGTTGATCTCTTTCATTTTAATATTTAATTAATTTAAATATAAAACCTTTTAAAATCTCAACTGTAATAGATTTAAATATAAAACCTTTTAAAATCTCAACCTGTCTTTTAATCACTGAATCTATAATAAAATTTAGTAAAATATCATTCTAATGCAACATTTGGGTTTTGATAAACTTATGTAATTGTAAAGCAAGGATATGGTTTAAAATCTTCATTTATTTTTTCTATTAATTAGGTTAATTTCCTTCGACAAACTATCTTTAAAAATGTTTATGTTTGCTTCTATGGAAACTCAAAAAAAAAAGAAAAAAAGAAGAAGTTTGCTTCCATGGGCTATCTTTAGGCCGGATTTCTCACAAAAAAGAAAAAAAAAGGAAAAAAAAAAGACTAACTTCAACGGTAATTAATCAAAGAGCGAAGGCCCAAGAGCCCCAACGGGCCAGGCCTTGAAATCCACACCCCGCCAAGGCAGTTCAGTTGATTAGTTTGCTTTTCTGTATCCTGCTCACTCTCTCGTGGGAATGGCGATGAACCTCAGAAATCAGAATACTTCTTTCTTTAATGGCGGAGTTTCCAATCCTTTTCCTCCTCAATCAACGTGGCCTCAACGTCTATGTACGCTCAGTTTCCGTCTCATTTTCTGATAACACCCAATCCACAATCAACACAGAATTAAAGAGATGAAGATGAGAAAAGAATTGAAAAGAGAAGTGAGTTGAGAAAGAGAGTATTAGAGGAGATGAGAAGAGAAGAGAGAAAGCTGTAGAGAGGAAAAACTTGTATTCACTTGACTGAATGATTCTGTTACAAGAATTGGAGCTTTATAGCTGGTTCCGTATACGTACATCATACATCATTATCCACATACATCATCAATCTTAACTGACTATCTTCCTGCCAAGTTAGCTGCCCTGTTGTCAATCCTGTAACATTTTCTCGGCAACCTAACAGGGACAGTGAAATTAACTCCTTTTAGTAATTCTGGAAGTTTCATTATTTTGGGAAAGAATTCGTACTTGAGGTGTTTCTTCTCTCTTCTCTATTATATCTTCGTTTCCTTTAGGTTTCTTTCCGTATGAAGGTGAAAAATGTCTTTGGCTGGTTGATCAGATTATCAAATTTCTGTTTCATTGTTTTCTGTTTTCTTAATTTCTAGATGTTTATGTTATTATTGGGTGCAGTTGAGAGATAATTGTTAAAAATGGCGAGTACTGTAGGGGAAGAGTGAATGGAATGGATGGAATGCACAGCTGCTATCTATCTATGGAACATAGAAATTTGTCCATCTCATCTGGTGAGAAATAGAAATTTTCTGGTGGTTTGTAATGAGCAAAGTCCTGGTTATGGTGTGGAATCCACTGATTTGGAGGAGAAATTTGCATTGAAGGAGGAAGATGGTGCTGCTCTTACTGGTTTTACTAAGGATGTTCAGTAAGAATCATGTTTCATTCTCTGTTTCTTGACATTACATGTATTTCTGAGTAAATTTGTTTTGATATACCAGGACTCTATGCATCTGAAATTTTGTTTATGGAACTGGTAGTTTTATTCTGTACCTTTTTATAGGCCTTGATTGCAAGTTCTCTATCAGAAGATGACTATAAGACTGTGAAGGAAACTATAAAATTTGTGTTAAATGTCAGTTTTTCAGGGACGCCTTTCCATTATGGTTTCTGTTTGTCACAAAAACTCTTGGATTTTGATTTGTGTTTGCTGGTTTCTAACGCTGTTTGTTAACTTGACATGCTGGTTTTCCCAGATAGAGGGGTGTTTCATTGGCTTCAATTTTGGGCATATCCATCAGTCTCTTAGCCACCTTATTCACAAACAATGTTGATGTTTTTGGAATTATTAGAACTGGGGTACTAGTAAGTATACAAAGTAATCCAGCAATTTTTGTTTTTTCCTTGGTTTCATGTATTCAGGGGCTCTTAGATGTTTAAAATTGTTTATTCCAAAATTGCTAACAGTTTGTCAGCGCAAGTCAACCTGTAATGCATTAGCTTTTATTTTTGTTGGTCTCCACTATGGCGTTTCAGACTCTTTCCATAAGCAGCTTCTCCTATGGTAAGCAGCAACCTTAAAAAATAAATCTTTTTTTTTCATGTCCTTATCATGGTTTAAAGGTTACCATGAGTTGTTCTAACCTATTTTACATGAATCATAGATGTTGGTTTGGGTTGTATATTCTACAATTTTGCCTTCTGTCCTCAAAATTCTTGGTCTTCGTCGGGTTTGGTTGGGCTTGCATATGGCAGTTGGATTTTTTCGGGTAAAAGGTGTTTGTGAAAATTACCATATGTTTAAAATCTAGTAACTCTTGATTCCTGACTATCATTAAGTAGCTTGATGATAATGAATTTTGTTGCTTGGAATCGAGGGCAGCTACTTATGACAATACTGCTGTAATAATGACAGTAATGATACAGACGTGCACATGTAGGCTGTATTAGAATTTCATTTTTCAGTTCCTTCTGCCAATGGTCTTACAATACCAGTATAGGAAGCATCTTACCATATATTCAGTGCATATGTTATAGTTAGGAGCTACAATATATTTGTCAAATGCCATGTGAATCAAAATGTGTTAGAACGAAGTTTTCTTTCTCTTATATTTAATGTGTTGAATTTATTCCCATTCTTGTTAACTTTTTATTTTTTTCCTGAGGATTTATATTTCAGAATACTATCATCAACTGGGGCCTGGTGATCTCTGCACACTGCACGGGGACCTTCAGACAGCATAGGCAGTTGTATTCTGCTCTTAGCAGGTATGTTCTTGGTTTTATCCTTTGGACCATGCTTTAATGGTCTAAAAAATCTTCTTAAAAGGACGATCACTAATAGATCTAATATCCAAATTCACTAAAATTTATTCATGATAAATCTGAACAAAGTAAGGGAAAGTTCATTGGCTTTAACCCTAAAAAAGAGTTAATTTGAATAAAAAAATTATTAAAAAAAAAAAAAAGGTTATGAGATTTGGACCTTTTTTATTTTATGTGCATAAGATATCAAAAGTCAGGGGAAAACCAATAGCCAAGTTTAAGATGCAACATAGTCCATGGGGCCATATGGTTCAAACAATTCAGCAAAGAATCCCTTCTTCCTTCTCGGATTCAATCCCATGTCCTTGCAGAGTTGATCATTATACCATATGTGAATGACGGCAATGCATGCTCTTCGGTAGTAGCCACCAGAGTACTGTTTCCAGTATGCATCCCATTTCTCTACGTCTCTTTCCATCTCCTTAATCACTGGTAGCTTGAATTTTCCATCTAGAAGCTCTGCTAGCCACCGGCATCTCATCTCGGAGGTAAACAAGTTCGATGCACTTTCTGAGAATCCAATCACAGCTAGTTGTGGAATCCAAGGATGAATGCATTCCCTTTTCAAACAAAAGATTTAGTTTCTACATCAAAGTATGAACTATACAATGACAGATAACCCTTTCACCACTAGATTAAAACCTGAAGGAGTATAGTTAGAGACAGATTGTTTTCTTTTCTTCAAAACAAGAAAGAAATGATATGAAACCTGTAGAGTGGAATTGCTGCCTTTGGAGTCCCGAAAATGCAATCTTTAAAGGTTTGGGATGCAAAAATGTCCTTGAGCTTTTTATCTCCTCTGAATCCTGTTGCTAGAATAACCAAGTCTGTTTCTATTGGAGCAGCCTCATTTCCATCTATCACAACCCCGTCTTTACAGAAGCTGAAGCTTGGAGCTTTCTTCAATCTGATGCTTCCCTCTTCAACTTTATCATAAAATTTTTCTGGGATTGTTGAGATTAAACAAGAATTTATATGTTCAAAAAAGCTTTGCTTTGGTACCATTCCAAACTTTGCTAGAGGAAGCCTCCGTCTGATATCAGTTTCCACAAATTTCGAAAAACACCATCTCTGTTACAAGATCGTACCCAATTGTTCATTATCCTAAGAAAAAAGGATGTGGGTATCCATAGAAAGAAAAGAGAAGAAAGAAAATTTACCACTGGTGAAAGCACTGTTGCTAAGAGACTGAGCAGAAAACCTTCACCAGGCTTATGAACTAAAAGCTCTGAGAAGCGATTAAGGCATAAATTTCCAAGTGAGACACCCCATGGAAAGTAATCGGGGACAGCCCAGTTTTCAGTCCTGTATAAAACTGTACATGGGTTTTCCACACCTGATGAAAAACTATGACATGAAAACTAGATCTCCACTTTAAGAAGGTTAGAGCGAAGAAATTACAAATCTCATGGGGGAAAAATTACCATTTGCTACTGCACACTCCATTGCAATTTCCATTGCAGATTTCTGGAACCCAACAACAGTGATTTTCTTACCTTTGATGAATTTAGCAGCACTTTCATAGTCCATTGCTGCATATTCCATTGAGTGAATTACTTTCCCATGAAATGCTTGTGGCCCTTTGTTTGGAGGGAATTCTGGGATGTTTGGCAATCCACTCAATCTCCCCAAGCAAAGGATTACAAAATCCACCTCATAAATCTGCTTTGACCATGTACCTTAGGATGAGTGAAAGAAAAATACAAAACTTTGATCCTTCAGTATTTATCTTCTAGAGATACATATGACATACCTCAGTTGACAGTGTTTTAGTGTCTTGGGCATGGATCTTCCATTTCCTTGTAGAGCTAAAAGGCTCACCAGTGCCACCCCATAAGCTCCATGACTGCATCTCTGCCTCAGATGCGCCTTCATACTCAACACCAACTACTTTATTGTTGAATTTGATGTGCTTAAGCAGATCAAAATGGCGCGCATAAGCTTGGATATAATCAAAGACTTGATGTTGGTTAGGGAA